AAACTTTCACGGCGAAAAGGAAAGCTTTCACGGCGAAAAGGAAAGCTTTCACGGCGAAAAGGAAAGCTTTCACGGCGAAAAGGAAAGCTTTCACGGCGAAAAGGAAAGCGGCCAAAACAAGGCGCGCAGAGGCTGGGCCGCGTTTTCTCGAAGTGCATCATGGGGATAAGTACATGCACTTAATACGGTCAGCGGTTGATTATATCTCCGCCATAGAAATCAAAAGCTACAACTATGTTCTGTTCCAACTGTGGACATCAAATCGAAAACCTGGACAAGTTTTGCCCTAATTGCGGAAAAGGTAGGTTYCAYATACTATTATTAATATTTAGTGATCGAAGTTGCGAACGCTTTTATGCACGCACTAAAACCCTGAACATTAAATAGTACTAATTAGTACTATTTCATACAGAATCCTTTGTTTTCTATTGTTTAATTATCACTATTTAGTGCTAAAAATTAGTATTTGTTTCACGGATTTAGTGTGAGCACTCTGATCTGTGAAACACTAATTACTAAATAGTACAAAGTAGTGCTAGTTAAACAATAGAAAACAATATTTAATATTACTCAAGTTTCACGGATTTACTGTTTAAGAGTGATATTTTACAGTTATGGCATTACGTGTACTTTTGTAATATTTGTTATAATTTTTTTTTCTTCCTTATACTCTTTAACTCTTTATTCTTTTTTGGTATATTTTATTTAATTCATTTGATACTTTATTATTAACTATTCTTTCTWTTAAGATCACTTTACCTAAACCTACTAGCTACCTCGATTAACCTTGTGGTTACTGTAGCTAGTGTGGCACCTCAAGAGATGTTATATTTGTATTTTATATTAAGTTAAACAATGGTAAATAAGATGCTAAATAAAGATTTGATTGATTGATTGATTGATACTATATGGATATGTATTAGTATGTATCCAGATATTTTTCACATGGCTCAGTTGCTGTCATAGAAAAATATAGTCTACTTCTACAGACTACAGTACAGTAAAATGACATTATATAAACTAATAAAGTACCTTAAATTTTTTTTGCAACAGGCCTGACAGAGGATGCATCTGACTCAGACACAGACAGCGAGGTTGAATTTGATGAAGAGGATGTAATAAAATATTACTTCCATCGGGGGTTTGAGTACCAAGAAATTATCCTATTTCTTGCCAAGAATCATAACCACACTATCAGTTACAGTACTTTGTTAAGAAAGCTAAAGCTGTATGGGCTTTCTCGARGGAACCTGAATAGGCGGCATAAGCAGACTGATGTTCRGAAACGTATAGAAGAAATTGTGAATGGACCAGGATCATCTGGAGGATATCGTTCTGTTTGGCATACACTTCGGCTAGAGGGCTTCTCAGTTCCGAGAATTATTGTACAGCAACTATTGCAAGAGATAGATCCTGAAGGTGTTGCAACACGTAAAGGGCATCGCCTAAAACGAAGAGTTTATAGAAATCCAGGTCCAAATTATGCATGGCACCAGGATGGTTACGATAAGTTGAAACCTTGGGGGTTCCCAATACATGGTTGCATTGATGGCTTTAGTAGACGCATACTGTGGCTTAAAGTTGC